CTCCTTCCTAAGTACAACAGAAAAGTTGTCCAAATATGAATGATTAACCTATTAAATTGGGGATAAAAAAACTAATATGAAAAGTTGTTATTCTAAAAATCTTCATCTACTTGTATCTTAAAGTTATACCAGCGAGAATTAGTCTTTATGTAGAAAACTAGGATTTAAATCAAGCCTTACTGACTAGTGATTTAAATCAAATCCACCCTGTGTAAAATGTTAAAAATAAGTGCCTATACTGCACATGCTCAGTTGCTCTCTGCATCTTCCTGAGGAACACAAAAAAAAATCCTCCTACAAGCTGTAACCAGTGCTCTGCTGGACACTGATAGAAGCCACAAGACTGCTCCAACTGCTGATAAGAAAAAGGTATTTAGCAGTTTATATTTACTAAAATAATTGCATTTCCATGTTGTGTGTACTGTAGTAGACCAGATATAGAGAATGCACTGTCCTGGGAGACCAGAGATATAGTGAATGCAGGGTCCGGGGAGACCAGAGATATAGTGAATGCAGGGTCCGGGGAGACCAGAGATATAGTGAATGCAGGGTCCGGGGAGACCAGAGATATAGTGAATGCAGGGTCCGGGGAGACCAGATCTAGAGAATGCAGGGTCCCGGGGAGAATGCAGGGTCCGGGGAGAGACCAGATATAGTGGATGCAGGGTCCGGGGAGACCAGATATAGTGGATGCAGGGTCCGGGGAGACCAGATATAGTGGATGCAGGGTCCGGGGAGACCAGATATAGTGGATGCAGGGTCCGGGGAGACCAGATATAGAGAATGCAGGGTCCGGGGAGACCAGATATAGAGAATGCAGGGTCCGGGGAGACCAGATATAGAGAATGCAGGGTCCGGGGAGACCAGATATAGTGAATGCAGGGTCCGGGGAGACCAGATATAGTGAATGCAGGGTCCGGGGAGACCAGATATAGTGAATGCAGGGTCCGGGGAGACCAGATATAGAGAATGCAGGGTCCGGGGAGACCGGATATAGAGAATGCAGGGTCCGGGGAGACCAGATATAGAGAATGCAGGGTCCGGGGGAGACCGGATATAGTGAATGCAGGGTCCGGGGAGACCGGATATAGAGAATGCAGGTCTGGGGAGACCAGATATAGAGAATGCAGGGTCCGGGGAGACCGGATATAGTGAATGCAGGGTCCGGGGAGACCAGATATAGAGAATGCAGGGTCCTGGGAGACCAAATATAGTAAAGGCAGGGTCCGGGGAGACCGGATATAGTGAATGCAGGGTCCGGGGAGACCGGATATAGTGAATGCAGGGTCCGGGGAGACCAGATATAGAGAATGCAGGGTCCTGGGAGACCAGATATAGTAAATGCAGGGTCCGGGGAGACCAGATATAGAGAATGCAGGGTCCTGGGAGACCAGATATAGAGAATGCAGGGTCCTGGGAGACCAGATATAGTAAATGCAGGGTCCGGGTTTAGTAACACTTTAAGCTCAAAAAGAGCTGGAAAAAAACTCTGGTAATAGTGTTTTTTTTTTTTGTAGCGTTTTAGAAGTGTTAGCGTTTTATTAGCATTTTTACAGTACATGTAGAGAAACAAAAGAAACGCTAGAAAAAAAGCATTTGAAAAAGTCATGATGAAACACGTCAGTAAGTGACGTCGCTGGAAGTAATGTGGCAGCCATTTTGGAAAAGGTCCAGAGTGGACTGACCACAAACAATAGGAAGGAGCAGGCTTGGAGGAGATGTTTCATTGCTGCAAATACTCTGCAAATATGTAAGCGCTTTTAATAAAGTTTCTAAGCTTTTTATCTAAGGTTTTACGCGATGATTATTCACTTTTCTTCCGGGTACACACCATCGCTGTTTTGCAGCATTGATATCATGGTCCTGGAGTAAGAGAGTCTATTTGAGCAAAGCCTTCATTATCTGTCAATCTGGTAAGGTACATGTGTTGAATCATTCGGCTGTTTCACTGTATGGTCACAAGTGTGGTGTGTGACGTGACACTGATTCACAGTATATGAAGGATCCTATAATTACTTGAGCTTATTAAACACTTCCCATCCAGCCCATGAATATAAACGGCCGGACAGGAGCAGTGCAGGAGCGGATGGGCGTTTATAAACGGCCTCCGTATTCACTGCCTGAGAGAGCGCGGCACTGCGACCTGGTGACTACTGTGTCCTCCGGACACAGCGGAACACCGATTTCTGTACGGGACCTCTGTGTGAAGTCCCGATCATGTGATCACTGATTGGCCAAACAGTTATTACGTGAGTAGTAGTAAGCAAGATGTCACTTCCTGACATTGCTTACTACGTGTGAAATCTGTGAATGATCACAGAGGTCACATGGTACAAGGCTATTCACAACAGCCTTGTACCATGTGACAAGCTGTGACCAATCACAGCTCACTCAGTACTTCTCAATGACTGCAAGAATGCAGACAGAGAGAAAGAGAAATGATTGATTTTACATCCTATATGGGTATAAAAGCAATCAGTGTAGAAAAAAAAAAATCTGCATCACCCCCCACAAGAAGTACAGTGTGAATCAGCTCTACGTGTCATTTCTGTCTGCTGCTTCTTTTCTTTACTATCAGCACGAGTCATTTCTGACAAGTTTTCCTGACACCAAGAGAAAAATGGTGACGGGGGAGGGTCCTCCAGCTGATTGACAGCCTCAGCTCTGTTCTAGTGACTGTGGAGGGGGGGGTGTCCCTTCCCTCCAATCAGCTTTCAGAGCGCTCTGCACTGAGCTCTAGAGTGTAATTTGAGCTCTCCACTCCGTTTTCTGAACTCTCAGACAAGCTTTACATATTCAGCACTCTGAAAGGATGTAGAGACTAGATGACAGCAGATAAACAGGTACAACTTATGTAGGAGGATTGGTTTCATCCAACCACTTTAAGCAGCCCATAGATTATGCAATTTCATATCCTTCCACCAAGGGTGGAAGGAAAGAAAATTGCTTGATTCCTCCATCAACGCAGTCAGTGTTGATGGGGAATCCCTCCCACAGCGCTGCTGTGTTCTATAGGCAGGGAGTGTATGAAAACATCTGATAGGCTTTTTGTTCTGAGGTCGATTAATGGATCTATTTCAGAATAATCAGGCTGCCCATAGATGGATCAATTCTTGGCCGGTCACTGCTGAAGGGGCAGAGATTCGATCAATCTATAGCCAACTTCATTGTACTGGAATACAGCAACAAATATGTTCTTGTTGTGAAGATCACACAGCTGTCGGTTTCACATCTCTGGATGTGACTTGATACCGTTTATGAAAATGTACCCAAGTATTGTGTGTTCTCATAAATAATACTCATCATAAAGCTCTTCTAGGGAAAAAAAAATCAATTAGAGGCCTGTGCATGTGTCTGCAGCCAGAACTGGTATGATCTGGTCCCAAGGCCCCAACCTCGAGCATAAAATCCCTGGGGCTTTCCCAAGCCTGGGGAGCTGACGATGGCATATACAGCCGGCCATACAAATGAACGGCTGTACTGGTGTATGCAGTGGTGTGCCCTTCTACACTGGAGTATCCCCCAAATATGATCCTGACCCATCTGGTAAATACGCCGTACGTGTGTGCCAGGAAAATACTGACATTGCTAGAACCACGGCCTGGCATCACCAGTCACTGCTATGGCCGGCTGTGCACGTCACCGCCCAGCTTGCCGAGCCAGGGAAAAATGCTGGGAATGTTACACTCTGAGCCCCCAAACATCAATGTCCATGAGACCTAGAGGTTATATATGAATACAATCTACAAATATAGGATTAATCGATCTGAACTCTGATCAGATCCGAGACACACATGACGATATCTGTCAGATCGATCAAGAACATTCACAATGGCCAACCAATCTGGCAGAAAATGCATGGAGAGCCCCATACAGGGATGGTTGGAGGAGGGGGGAGGTCTGATTGTATCAATCGCTCCCATCGGTTGCCTTGATCTGCGCTGATCCCTCCCCGCCGATTGCCCTGATCGATCCCGCCGGTAGTATCAGTCACCCGGATTGCTTAAACTGATCCCTCCCCACCGGTTGCCTTGATCGCTCCCGCTGGTTGCCCTGATCACTCCCATGGGTAGTATCAGTCACCCAGATTGCTTAAACTGATCCCTCCCCACCGGTTGCCCTAATCGCTCCCGCCTGTAGTATCAGTCACCCAGATTGCTTAAACTAATCGCTCCCCGCCGGTTGCCCTGATCGCTCCCCGCCGGTTGCCCTGATCCCTCCCCGCCGGTTGCCCTGATCGCTCCCACCGGTAGTATCAGTCACCCGGATTGCTTAAACTAATCCCTCCCCGCCGGTTGCCCTGATCGCTCCCCGCCGGTAGTATCAGTCACCCGGATTGCTTAAACTGATCCCTCCACGCCGGTTGCCCTGATCACTCCCCGCCGGTTGCCCTGATCACTCCCCGCCGGTTGCCCTGATCGCTCCCTGCCGGTTGCCCTGATCCCTCCCCGCCAGTTGCCCTGATCCCTCCCCGCCAGTTGCCCTGATCCCTCCCGCCGGTTGCCCCGATAGCTCCCCACCGATTGCCCTGATCGCTCCCACCGGTAGTATCAATCACCCGGATTGCTTAAACTGATCCCTCCGTTCAGTTGCATTGATCGGTGTGTGACCATGGTCAGGTCAGGTGACATGCATACACAGGAGGTAAGTACCACAGGGGGGGATAGTTGCAGTGTGCAGTCGGTGATGCAATGATCTTTCTTGTCTCTGGCCGGATACGGAGCACCACTGACAGGTGTCAGCCCCTCCCCCATCACTGACAGACCCCCTCCTCCCTGACACCTCACTCACCTGCACCAGCATCTTCACGTACATGAGCGGGTGGGACACGACGGTCAGGCCGGAGCCCAGCAGCAACTGACTGGTCGTGTCCGCCATCTTGGAGACGTCACGTGACCCCGGGTCGCCGATTCAAGGAGAAAAATCCCGGCGGTGAGGAGCGGAAGTGAGGGAGAGCATGTGACCAGGGTCTCCTGGCAACGCCGAGAGTTTGTGATGGGCGGAGCCTGAGCAAGGAAAGCGGAGCACGGGAGAGGAAAGAAGGAGCCGGCAGGAAGGTAGGTACACTCATAGTACTGGGCACTGGAGGTATGTGCCCCCATAGTACCGAGCACTGGAGGTATGTGCACCCATAGTACTGGGTGTGGGTAGGTACCTCTATAGTACCGGGCACTGGAGGTATGTGCACCCATAGTACTGGGTGTGGGTAGGTACCCCTATAGTACTGGGCACTGCATGCAGGTAGGTACCCCTATAGTACTGGGCACTGCATGCAGGTAGGTACCTTTATAGTACTGGGCACTGCACGCAGGTAGGTGCCCCCATCGTACTGGGCACTGCAGGTAGGTGCCCCCAACGTACTGGGCACTGCAGGTAGGTGCTTCCATCGTACTGGGTACTGCCTGCAGGTAGGTGCCCCCATAGTACTGGGTACTGCCTGCAGGTAGGTGCCCCCATAGTACTGGGCACTGCATGCAGGTAGGTGCCCCCATAGTACTGGGCCCTGCATGCAGGTAGGTGCCCCCATCGTACTGGGGCACTGCACGCAGGTAGGTACCCCCATAGTACTGGGCACTGCAGGTAGGTGCCCCCATCATACTCGGCACTGCATACAGGTAGGTACCCCCATAGTACTGGGCACTGCATACAGGTAGGTACCCTCATTGTTCTGGGCACCGCATACAGGTAGTTACCCTCATTGTACTGGGCACTGAAGGCAGGAAGGTACCCCTATAGTACTGGGCACTGCATACAGATAGGTACCCCTATAGTACTGGGCACTGCAGGCAGGTAAGTGCCCCCATAGTACTGGGCACTGCATGCAGGTAGGTACCCCCATAGTACTGGGCACTGCAGGCAGGTAGGTACCCCAGCACTGGAGGCAGGAAGATAGCCCTATAGTATGGTGGACTGGAGGTAGGTACCCCCTTGTACTGGAGGCAGGCATGTACACATTCCTATAGTTCTGGGCAGGTAGGTACCAACATAGTACTGTGCACTGGGAACAGGTAGGTACCCCTATAGTTCTTGGCACTCATTGCAGGTAGGTACCCCATAGTACTGGACAGTGAAAACTGGAAGTTAGCCCTACAGTATTGGGCACTGGAGGTAGAAAGGTACCCCCTAGCACTGGAGGCAGGTAGGTAAGGTACCCTCCTGGTACTGGGCACTGCAGGTGGGTAGGTACTGGCACTGTACTGGGCACTGCAGGTTGGTAGGTACTAGCGCTGTACTGGGCAATGCAGGTGGGTAGGTACTGGCGCTGTACTGGGCACTGCAGGTGGGTAGGTACTGGCGCTGTACTGGGCATTGCAGGTGGGTAGGTACTGGCGCTGTACTGGGCACTGCAGGTGGGTAGGTACTGGCGCTGTACTGGGCACTGCAGGTGGGTAGGTACTGGCGCTGTACTGGGCACTGCAGGTGGGTAGGTACTGGCACTGTACTGGGCGGTAGGTACTGTACTGGGCATTGCAGGTGGGTAGGTACTGGCGCTGTACTGGGCACTGCAGGTGGGTAGGTACTGGCACTGCAGGTGGGTAGGTACTGTACTGGGCACTGCAGGTGGGTAGGTACTGGCGCTGTACTGGGCACTGCAGGTGGGTAGGTACTGGCGCTGTACTGGGCACTGCAGGTTGGTAGGTACTGGCGCTGTACTGGGCACTGCAGGTGGGGTAGGTACTGGCGCTGTACTGGGCACTGCAGGTGGGTAGTTACTGGCTGTACTGGGCACTGCAGGTGGGTAGGTACTGGCGCTGTACTGGGCACTGCAGGTGGGTAGGTACTGGCGCTGTACTGGGCACTACAGTTGGGTAGGTACTGGCGCTGTACTGGGCACTACAGTTGGGTAGGTACTGGCGCTGTACTGGGCACTACAGGTGGGTAGGTACTGGCGCTGTACTGGGCACTGCAGGTGGGTAGGTACTGGCACTGTACTGGGCACTGCAGGTGGGTAGGTACTGGCGCTGTACTGGGCACTGCAGGTGGGTAGGTACTGGTGCTGTACTGGGCAAGGTAGGTGGGCAGGAGGGGGTACTCATTGTGTCCTGTGTTGTCTGTTTTTCTGATTTTGCGGCCTTTTTGCTGCTAAGAGGGGGGAGGGGATGGCCATCCGGAGGTTTTCTTCTTCTAAAGCCCCGGCCGTAGTGGCAGCCCTGGTGTTTCAGTAATATGGATCGCTGTGCCAGGATGGAGATCAGGAATTCACACCTCCCCCATCTGAATACTTGTGTCGGGTCCATGACATAGAAGGTCTTGAGGCAATTGTCTCATCCATCACAGCCAAGCAAACAGCATTTTCAATAGACCAGCCTGTGTGTGGTTTACTTTAAAGCCCAATTGAACTCTTTGGACTGTTGGACTCTCCATACCTGAAATGTATTGAAATGATTAACCTGGATGTCCTGTTGGCTTCCTCTGCCTGACCTGTATGTAAAATTCTATGTCTGCGGGAAAATACATTCCACCAGGTCCATCACACTGGTAGGTGGGCAAAGTCTTACAGGTCATTTCAGCCACAGCCTGGGTAGAGCAGCCTGTCCCCTGCCAGCATGCTGCATAGATAGACCCCTGCTGTGTGTGTGGAAGCAGTGGGCTCTCTGCAGACATCTGACACTTCCACTACTGAGTCAGTATTGGCGCTCTCCAATCAGCAGTGAGCAGGAGCTTTGCTGATTGGAGGGCTGTAGCTCTGACGCAATAGGAGGTGTGTTGGAACTCTGCAGAGAGATGACTGCTTCCACCTCAGTAGCAAGTGTCCTCCTCCATAGCATCCTGGCTGGGGGACAGGCTTTTCTACTCCGGCTGGGGCTGCTTCCTAAAGAAAATGAACTGTTAGGCTCATGTACACTGCAGCTGATAAAACTGATGTTCAGGAGCTTTTCTGCGGCTTTTTCAGCAGCCCCTGAACTCTCCCTAATGTTTTCCTATGTGTCCGTGTACACATCGTCACTTGCGTTCAGGAGTAGATTTTATCAGTTTTTCTAATGCTTGTAAACGCAGCTAACCGCATTTATAAGCATTTGTGTTTGGAACATTTTTTTTAACTCTTCCATTTCCAGATGCTGTCTGGATCCTTTTTTCATCATGAAAAATGCATGCAAAGTGTTTTCCCGGTACTCAAATGGACCCGGTACACCATACTTTGAGGTTTTGTATGAAAGAAAATGTTAGACACGGCTGCAATAATTTCTGCACAGAAATGAGCTGGAACACATCCAAACACCACAAAAAAAAAAGACCGCTAATCTCAACAAATACTGCTCTCTCTGCTTCTACTCTCTATTTCTCTCAAATTGTCTGACATAGTTAATAATTTACCATTTTCCAGTGCATTCTGGGCATTTTGGGAGGGTCTCCTGTGCTTATCTTTAAAAAAACGCTTCTAAATGCAAACGTGCGGCTAAACAGACATTTTTTTTAACCTGCGTTTTCCTGCTGTCAATTTCCAGCATACAGAAGAGTTCTCCAAACACACCGTGTATATGGGGCCTTATAGACTTTCCACACCTGCAATGTATTTAGATGATTTCAACTGGAAGTTCAACTCTAACTGTATGCAGAGTTCAGGGAAAATGTAACTGAATTAAACTGAAAGGTCAGTTGCAGACACAGGCAGGGGCGGACTGACAACTCATGGGGCCCCCAGGCAATAGGGGATCATGGGGCCCCGTGTCCTTGCCCAAACTCAAAAAAAAAAACCTATGAAAAAGGTACCAGGGGCATCTCATGGGGCCCCCTACTGACCCCCGGGCCCTCGGGCAGTGCCCAAGTTTCCAAATGGTCAGTCCGCCCCTGGACACAGGCGTTTCCTAAAATAAAAGAACTGTTAGACCTTCCATACCTGAAAATTCAATAATTTAAACTGGAAGTTCTGTTGGCTCTAACTGTATGCAGAGTCCAGGGTCTGTGGGAAAATTTAACTGACAAAACCCTTTTGTATCCCTTTTTTTTTTTGATGCCCCTGACATGTAAACTCAGTTAAAACTAGAAAAGCTCCAATTTCTGGGGAAATTGTGTGAAGTGTTCTTGCCTCCACCAGTAGTCTGCAACTGGAATGGGCAGCTCCCACTCTAGTTTTGAACATTCTGCCATTCATTCCTATGGAACCAATTTGACCACGAAAAACGCCGATATTTTGTGAACCATTCGGCAAAACGTTCCACAAAGTAATAGCACGCCAATCGGGAACAATCCGCAGGTTTCGGTATATTACTGTCTATGCAGTGTAAAAACTATGGGAGGAGTTAGGGTGGTAAATTAGGGTGGTAAATTTGGCTATAATAATAAGAATATATATGTGAGATAACAGTAAGTGGTCTGGCCATGCAAATGCATTGGGAACACGACACATTCTATTCCAAATCAAAACATGAAGAAAAATAGATCAAATTTGTGTTATTCCCCTAAAAAAATTGAAGAAAAGTGAATATTAGACTGTTCAAAAAAATAGCAGTGTTTGTATTCTTCTTTACAAACTCAAACATTCACTATATAAACTGAAAAATGTTTGAAGATTTTGCTTTCCTTTGAATCACTTAATGAATATTTTGGTTGTAGTCGCACTGTTTCTGAGAACTGCTGTACATCTGTGTTGCATGGAGTCACCCAACTTCTGGCACCTGTGATCAGGTATTCCAGCCCAGGATGATTGGACATTCCACAGTTCTTCTTTATTTCTTGGTTTTGCCTCAGAAACTGCATTTTTGATGTCACCCCACAAGTTTTCTATTGGATTAAGATCCGGGGATTGGGCTGGCCACTCCATAACGTCTTGTTGGTCTGGAACCAAGATGTTGCACGTTTACTGGTGTGTTTGGGGTCATTGTCTTGTTGGAACACCCATTTCAAGGGCATTTCCTCTTCAGCATAAGGCAGCATGACCTCTTGAAGTATTCTGATGTATTCAAACTGATCCATGATCCCTGGTATGCGATAAATAGGCCCAACACTGTAGTATGAGAAAATCCCCATATCATGATGCTTGCACCACCATGCTTCACTGTCTTCACAGTGTACTGTGGCTTGAATTCAGTGTTTGGGGGTCGTCTGACAAACTGTCTCCGGCCACCAGACCCAAAAAGAACAATCTTACTTTCATCAGTCCACAAAATGTTGCGCTATTTCTCTTTAGGCCAGTCAATGTGCTCTTTGGCAAATTGTAACCTCTTCAGCACATGTCTTTTTTTCCAACAGTGGGACTTTGCGGGGGCTTCTTGCAGATAGCTTGGCTTCACATAGGGGTCTTCTAATTGTAACAGTACTCACAGGTAACGTCACACCTTCTTTCATCTTCCTGGAGCTGATTGTTGGCTGAGTCCGCGCCATTTTGGCTATTCTTCTATCCATTCGAATGGTAGTTTTTTCGCTTTCTTCCACGTCTTTCAGGTTTTGGTTGCCATTTTAAAGCATTTGCGATCATTTTAGCTGAGCAGCCTATCATTTTCTGCACTTCTTTATATGTTTTGCCCTCTCCAATCAACTTTTTAATCAAGGTACGCTGTTCTTCTGAACAATGTCTGGAACGACCCATTTTCCTCAGAATTGTAGAGAGAAATGCACTGTAACCAGCATGTACAACGTTTGCTGCCTTCCTTCCTTAAATAAGGGCAATAATTGCCACCTGTTTTTCAAAGAATGAATTACCTCACTAATAGAACTCCACACTGCTATTATTTTGAACATGCCCCTTTCAATTAGTGATTCAATTACACGGAATCAGCAGCATGCATGTCATGACTGTTGGGTCTGTTGGATTTCTATTACTCTACTACACCTGCTAGTAAATTATTTGCCATGTAGAAATATCATTTCTACCAAAAACAGTGATTGATCCGGTTAGTGATGTCTGACTGATATTATTTTGAACACAACTGTATATATATCTATATAAAGTTCTGTGTAAATTGACAGCACTATATAAGTACCTGAAATAAATATTGAAATGATTTAAATAGGACGTTCTGTTGGCTTCCTCTGCATGACCTGACCTGTATGTAGAATTCAGTGTATGCGGGAAAATTTAACTGACAAAACCCTTTTTATAATCCCTTTTATTTTGATGCCCCTGAAATGTTTTGATATTAAACTGAAGGCTCAGTTGGGCTTTAGAATGCATTCCCACCCGAGTGACATGGAGACATAGGCGTTTCCTAAAATAAATAAACTGTTGGACTTTCCACACCTGAAATGTATTTAAATAGGAAGTTTTTTAGGCTTCCTTTGCTTGACCTGACCTGTATGTAGAGTTTAGTGTCTGCGGGAAAATTTAACTGACAAAACCCTTTTTATAATCTCTTTTATTTTGATGCCCCTGAAATGTTTTTTTAAACAGAAGGTTCAGTTGGGCTTTAGAATGCATTCCCACCCGAGTGACATGGAGACACAGGCGTTTCCTAAAATAAATAAACTGTTGGACTTTCCACACCTGAAATGTATTTAAATAGGAAGTTTTTTAGGCTTCCTTTGCTTGATCTGACCTGTATGTAGAGTTTAGTGTCTGCGGGAAAATTTAACTGACAAAACCCTTTTTATAATCTCTTTTATTTTGATGCCCTTAAAATGTATTAAACTGATTGAACCCCCTGCACACAAGGCCATCCAGCTGCAATGCGTCCTTCCCGACATTTTAGGAGGGACCATTACAGCGAGCAGCCCCGCTGCAGGCAACCTGTCGTCCCTTGCCCTGCAGACAGGATCATACTCACAATACAAGGTACAGTCTATTTGTACAATCTCTAATACTGTGTACCTACCTACCTAAACCAGCTATTCAATTTGTTTCCAATCAAGCAAGGATTGGAGATTACTCTTAGTGAATACTGCATGTCAAAACAGTGTGTGAGCCAAAGATAAAGACAGATTTATGATATGCAGATCTTGACTTTACGTGTAATAGTCAGGCTTGGCTCCTCCCACTTGCTGACCTTGTCTGAATGGAGTAGCTGGTAAGGGCTGGATTTATTCATAGTCGACATGGACATGGCCAAGGGTGACATGGCAGTCTAGGGTAGCACCCAGCCCACATTTCCTATATATTGAAGTATCCGGACTGACACCCTGGCTGTCTTGTGGGTTCTCTACTCTTACACCTAGAATGAACCTGCTAGCAGACTAAGAGAATAGTTTACCCTACTCCTTCGGGTGTAAGTTCTAGATCAGGAGTGTCAAACTGGCGGTCCTCCAGCTGTTGAGAAACTACAAGTCCCATCATGCCTCTGCCTTTGGAAGTCATGCTTGTAATTGTCAATCTTGCAATGCCTCATGGGACTTGTAGTTTGGCAACAGCTGGAGGGCCGCCAGTTTGACACCAGTGTTCTAGATGTACTGACACAGAGCAGGCAAGGTTTCACTTTCAGTGTCTCTGGCCTCAGCTTTGATTACATGACCAGGGTATGGGTAAGACAGAACAAGACGCTTGGCGGGTCAGGAAGTATAATCCCAACCCTGGTGGCAATGGCAATCAATGTTTTCATCCACCAATAAATATGCAGTGGTCCTGCAATCTGAATGAAAACTGCTATTAGAGAGTATTTGTTTTGATAATGTTTTACCAAGCTTTTATATTTATTACCATAGGTTATACAATATCCCCCAAATAGATGCGGCATCACAATTATGTGCCCTGCACTCCAAACAGAGCTAAAACCACAGGTATGTCTTTTTGTCTGTCTATCTCTCTGCATTTATCGTTTTGCCTTTTTCCTTGTCTTTTTTTTATACAGTACAGACCTGTTCCATGTACTTTAACCCCTTCGCGCCTAAGTGTAAAAGAAATCTAAATGCCTAAGCACAATTTTGCAATGTTGACATGTGTTAGTAAAACCGTACATATCATCACAACTACTGTACATCCAGGTGAATTATACCTTGTTTTTTTCAGGACAAATTTGGCTTTCACTTGGTGGTAAATGGTAAAGGATATCTCCTGATTTTTTTTTTTTTTTTTTATCAAAGGAAAACTGGTCCTGAATAGTAAAAAAAAAATATTTTTTTATTATTTAGCTGTGTGTTTCTTGTTACTACCATAACCTACCACCAAAGAACAACCCAAACTAAATTTTCCAGCTCTTGACAATTGCAGCAATACCATATATGTGTTTGTTGTTTGTACCCGTAGTACAGCCCAGAAACAATAGTGCGCATTTTTTTTGTTTTGTTTTTTTACCTAAAACATACTGACACTGATACCAAATTTTAAAAAAAAATCCTGACCTTTTGATCTTGACCTTGACCCAAAACACTTACCCTGGCACTGAACTAGATAAAACCTTGATCTAGGTATTTTTTTTTCTTTCTTTTTTTTGTTTATTTTATTTTATTTTTTTTACAAACATTTTTTTTTCTCTCTATGCCAGGAGTTAGAGAGATTCAATATATCTCTCTCCTCTATTCATAAAGAGAAAAAAAACAAAGGGGCCGGGCTGTACAGTGACTGATCACTGTGATAGCCAATCAGAAACTATCACAGCAATCATGTGACCCGGAATTCGGAGTCCCGGGTCCTGATTGTTAGAAAAGGACCCAGTGCTCTCAGTGACACTGCAGTCTTTGTGCTGGGAGTGCGCCGTGCGGCATGCTACCAGCAGAAAGACAGGTCCGCAAATATGCGGCCCCACAGAAAAAAGCCCTGTTTTGCGAGGCCGCATATTTGTGTTACGTCGGCATCAAGGGGTTAAAGAATAAAAGGTGATTATCGGGCTCAAAAATGTCCCAAGTCCCAATCCCGCACTGGCCCAGTCTCACATCAGCCCAATCTTATACCACTCCAGTCCTTTGCTGGCCCAACCCCATACAAGTACAGAATGAAATCCATAGTGCAGAACCCCCCCCCCCCCCCACACACACACACACACACACACACTTTTGTCTAAGCCAAAAAAAAACGCACTGCGATTCCAAAGAACAGTATCTGACACTATGCCAAAATAATGTGCATATGTTTCTTTTTTTTATTATTATTACATTTCCATAGCAGTATATCCCCTATTCCTGCATTAGCCATGAAAGTGGTAGGGTTAGGCATGACATGAGTAAACAGATTTGTTTGCTGTATTGTCCTTTCCTCCAGGTTTTTTGGCTTCCAATAACCAGGCATGTTCAAGATAACCCTTGCCATCAAAGCCATGTATAATGAACATGATGCAATTTCTGATAAACAAGGTGCACACCCAATACAAACAGGGCCAGAGATACAATGGCTTGCAGCTTACCAGTGCACACAGTAATACAGCTAAGTAAACGAGGAGCTGATTCTGTATTCTTCAGTCCACACAAAGGTTGGGTATTGTTTTATTGTGCTGGATGGATCTTTGTCTGCTCCACCAGTCTTTTTTTTTTTTTTTTTTTTCCAAGGTGTGAAAAAGTATTTATTATAGTCATTGAAACCTAATGTTTATAAAGTGGCTGTATATTCTACAGCTAGGGTGGCAATGCAGGGTCCTGGTTGAAAATTGCCTCCAGTAATTGGTTCATGTTGGGCTTCCAGAGGGAGTAATAATTAATTATGAACGCAGGTAATTTTGCACTTGAGCTAATGTCCCATTACCACCACCATATTTTTCCATTGTGAGACCTTGTACAGTTGCAAGAAAAAGTATGTGAACCCCTTGGGATTACGTGGAGTTTTGCATGAATTGGGCATAAAATGTGCTCTGAACGTCATCTAAGTCACAACAATAGAAGAACACAGTCTGCTGAACATAATACTACACAAACATTAGATGTTGCCATGGTTTAATTGCACATAACATGTAAACATTCACAGTGCAGGGAGGAAAAAGTATGTGAGGCCCTAGCTTAATGACTTCTCCCAGAGCTAATTGGAGCCAGGAGTGAGCCAACCTTGACTCCAATCAGTGTGATGATATTGGATGTGTTGCTGACAGCTGTCCTGCCCTTAAAAAACACACACCTGTTTTTGGGTTTACTGGTTTCAAGAAGCACTGTCTGATGTGAACCATGCCTCGCAGAAAAGAGCTCTCAGAAGACCTACGATCAAGAATTGTTGACTTGCATGAAGCTGGAAAGGGTTACAAAAGTATCTCCAAAAGCCTTGATGTTCATGTGTCCACGGTAAGACAGACTCTCTACAAATGGAGAAAGTTTAGCACTGTTGCTACTCTCCCTAGGCGTGGTCGTCCTGTAAAAATGACTGCAAGAGCACAGCGCAGAATGCTGCATGAGGTAAAGAAGAATCCCAGAGTGTCAGCTAAAGACCTACAGAAATCTCTGGCACATGCTAACATTTTTGTTGACACATCTACAATAGGGAAAACATTAAACAAGAATGGAATACATGAGAGGACACCGCGGAGGAAGCCATTGCTGTCCAAAAAGAATATTGCAGCACGTTTGAAGTTTGCACATTTTATGCCCAATTCATGCAAAACTCCACGTAATCCCAAGGAGTTCACATACTTTTTCTTGCAACTGTAAAATAAAGAGCTGTATACACTGAGATCGGGCTGGCTGGCTTGATTCCAACTTTGGAGGTCAAAATGACATGGCCAAATTGTCATAGGCCCAAATGGCATGCAAAAGTATTGCATTATGCTGGAATAACTGTGACCATTGCAGGCAAGTTGGGAGAACTACCAGTAAAGCAGATTTTACATTGTTCACCAATCCCTTCCCATACTGTCTGTTTCTGTTTGGCCAGTCATCCTCCTGTTATGTTCCTCTTAGATTATCACTAGAACATACTAGAAAACTGTGCTGGAGCTGTAATGAAAAGTGTGGAGGAGGAGATAAGAGTCATGCTAGCAATGGCAGGGCCTGACACGCCTCAGCCAGATATGGTCCAGGCCCCAGAGCTTTAGTTCTGAAGTCGCTGCTCCAGACTTAAAGTGGTTGTAAAGGTAGAAGGTTGTTTACCTTCATGCATTCTATGCATGAAGGTAAAACACCTTCTTTGTGCAGCAGCCCCCTCCTAATACTCACCTAAGCCCCCTCTTGATCCAGCAATGTGCACTGGAGTCTTGGCTATCCTGAGACTCCCTCTCCTCATTGGCTGAGACAGCAGCGGGAGCCATTGGTTCCCACTGCTGTCGATCACAGCCAGTGAGCCAATGAGGAGGGGGAGGGGGTGAGGCATGTGTCAGTGGACACCGAGCCTACTTGGGTGCCCCTATAGCAAGCTGCTTGTTGTGGAGGAACTCAACAGGAGGGAGGGGGCGGGAGTGCCAAAGGGGGACCCAAGAAGAGGAGGATCTGGGCTGCTCTGTGCAAAATCCATTGCACACAGCAGGTAAGTATAGACATGTTTGTTATTTTAAGAACAAAATTGCCTTTACAATTGTTCTAGGAGGGCCACATTCAAAATTCACCTGGTTCAGCAGGGACTGGATGAATTTTGATCAGTATGTAGTCATCCCTGCTCAACAGACATCGATTGTTTTAATCGACTTCTGTTGAAGGGACATGTTGGAAAGCTTTCCAGCCTGCTGGGCTGAGCGATCAAAAAAACTTCCAGTGCGTACGAGGCTTAAGGCTGAACTCCAAGCATGCGCTAAATACACAATTGAAACCCATACACAATGTGCTCCTGAGATGGGATAAATATGAGAAATGTGAGAAGAAGGGCCTACTGCCCCATGATTAATAACCCCTATTGATGCTCTCTAGACCCCAACATAATATTACTCTTAGCTTTGAACCTTTAAACTAGGTAAGATCTTGCGTTGACCTCAGTGATCTATCGCTAAAGAGAATGTCATGTAAGAGTAATGCTAAAAACTGCGTCTTCCACTGTACCCAAAACAAAGCTTTCTGGGACCCGGGACTCCGTTTTGCACTTCTTACTTTTTTAGTTTCTTTTTCTATTCCTATATATAAGGCCCCCTCCCCCCCCCTTTTCCGTTACTACTTCCTTCCTCAGCCACATCTGAATTCCCTCTGGCCTCCCACTCTCTTAACCTCTTCTTGTATTCTACATGTGACCCTTTACAAATGACTATTGTACAGCTATTAGTCGCATTCACTTACACTGGCATCACATGGTAGCTGTGACATCAACTATTGTGCATCCTGCCGAGGAATCCTATATGTCCTGATCCCTTGCGAGGTGTTTACAATGCTTGTACCAGTTCTGCCTCCTGCCCCTGCATTTTGTACTATCTGTCTGTATGGCAATATTAATACATTATGTTTTACAGCTGAAGGATTTGTAATTTCACGCAGAACACATCCCCAGCCTGCTGATTGGACAGTGTAGGATCAGCAGCACATCCCGCTGCTCACTCTTTTCTAGCCTCCTGTTAGCATGTTTAATGTTAGCACATGTGTATGTAAAAAAAGTCCTGGATTCTTTCCTAGATACACAGAATATAACTGGATACTAACATTTATAGGTAAAGTTGATCCAGGGAATATCCGATTGCCTCTCGGGGGATCAGGAAGGAATTTTTTCCCTTGCAGGAGCAAAGTGGATCATGCTTTGCTGGGGTTTTTTGCCTTCCTATGGATCAACTGTGGGTATCCTTTTTTTTTTTTTTTTTTTTTTTTTTTTTATGGTTGAACTGGATGGACTTTTGTCTTTTTCAGCCAGACTAACTATGTAAGTATAGAAGCTCACTGCTCTTCCCTCTCTCTCTAGTCTGTGAGCAGTCCTTCAGCATCATCACATACAATGCAGGACTATTGACCCTGCATTCTATGTGGAGGGAGGCAGGAGTGCGACCACGGTCAGAAGAGCCTTAGACAGAAGGGTGTGTGGAACCTGTCCTACCTCTGGAGGATCTTTGCTGGAGTGAGAAATAAGATAAGTATATTGAATCTTCTCTATGCACCCCCTAGACTGAACTGGCAGCTAACCCCTTGTAGTGTAGGGGGACCCCACTGCAAGGGTCATTCTAGGAGTTAGGCTTTCAAAGAAATATGAAGGCTGCCATTGCTGTCCTTACTCTGATCATGATAGATGAATGCTAGATCCTCTGGTGTCAGTGCCTTCCTTGTCCACCTTGTCACTGATCTGGAACAAGCATGTATACCAGGAAATTGAAGAAACTGAAGCTTCATTTTTTTTTTCCTAGAAAATATCCCCCTAAAATGTAATTATCATCAGGTTTTAGCAATAATAGCTGATTGGTTGCTTTACTTCCCCTATGTAAGAGACTGATTTGCTCCTAGTTCTGCCCCCTCCCTCTCTGTGTGAGCCAAATTCCAGGTGTGGATATTTGTACATAATTACATTTTTCCAGCTTGGACCATTGTAGCTATGCATATATACATGTACATTCACTTTGCATTCATTTTCTCAATGAATGCAAAGTGTTCTGTGTTTGGATGAGGTGGAGAGGCAGGGAGGTGACATAATTTCTTATGAAATGCAAAGCGCTCTATAAATGGTGCCTGTGTCAAAGCGGCGCAGACCGCCTGTGTCCACTATGCAGTATAGCAGCCATTGGCATAAGACCTGGAAACTAGCGGAGATCACTGGGGTAGCGGTGTCTATTACAGTGATTTCCAGCTCCTAGAAATCAGGGATGTCAAACTCCAGCTGTTGTGAATCTACAATTCCCATTATGCCTTTGGCTTTGGAAGTCATGCTTGTAACTGTCAGCCTTGCAATGCCTCATGGGACTTGTAGTTTGGCAACAGCTGGAGGGCCGCCAGTTTGACACCCGCGTCCTAGATGGATCCCCCAGATATGATGTGTACATAGTTACATTGGTCCAAGCTGGATCATTGTAACTTTGTAAAAATATCCATACCTGGAATTCTTCTTTTGGAAGGACACTGATAATAAAACAGATTTAGGCACTTTTTGATCAAAACAGAATTGCAATAATTGGTGTGTTTGTTTTTTTTTGTTTTGTATCTCTCTGAATTTCAACTTTAAATGTAAGCTCTAGGAATGATTTTTATTGCATAATTACATTGGACCATATACAAATCTCATACCTGAGTAATCCCTGTGAAAGCTGCAAACTACTGTAGTAGTCGCCACTACTACAGGGAGAACTGCAATCTTCCCATTCCTGTGCTAATGACTTCCCCCATGTACATTGACCACAGGGAGTCGTTTGCCCAGAACTGCCACCATTCACAAATTGCCTTGGGTTTTTTTCATTGGAGATTGTGATGTCACCATCCTACCTCTCCGCCTTGTCAGAGAATGCCTTTTATTCATTAAAAAAATACAAAGCATTCTGTGAATAGTGGCAATGCTGAGCCTCTATAGCTACTATGTAAGGGAAGCTTCCACGATTGCTCAGGTATAAGATATATATGAAGTTAGTATGTTGTGTGTGTGTATATATTATATATATATATAATATTTAGATATAAATATATATATAATATATATATATATATTATATTGTGTGTGGGTGTGTGTGGACTTTTTTATATGTTTAAAAAAAAATCTGAAGAATATATTCAAAAATATATATTTTTTAAAAATATTCTTCAGGAGTTTTTTTTACATATACAAAAAGTCATTTTAACATATATTTTTACATATGCTTGTAAATGCATTCCAAAAATGCAGATTTGTATTTTTAAAGACATACTGTATATTTGAAATGTGGATGTGTCCTATATGTATGTTTTTCGTGTGTGTGTGTGTGGTGTGTATATATAATAATATTTATTGAAATACATTGAATATGACCAAAATTGTAGCATTTCAAATATATGGCAATATATTTGGAAAGAATATTTTTAAAATATTTTTAAAATATATTTTTTTTTTCCATATGGGTTGGGCCATGCAACTATGTAATAAAATCATACTGGAGGTCTGTTTTGAATACAAATTTATGTTTACATGTAATGTACTGCCATCATAGTTCATAGAACTAAAATGGTATAGTCGTGAGGGCCCATTATATCCAATTTTGCACTATTTTTGAGCATCTTTATTTTTGAGCTTTGCTGTACACATATACCACCTGTGCATTTATATCACTGCTAACTAATATTCTTCTGCAGCTTCTGACTGATCCATATGACAACTTCATGCAGCATCACCTGAAATATTATGGCTATTTTAAAGGTAAGGTGCACATTTCAAAGTTACTGGCAGGAAAATACAATAAATAATTTTTGCTATAAAAAAGAAATCATCCATAGTCAAACTAAGAAAAGTTGTTTAAAAAATCAGATCTGGGGGCGTGTCCAAGATGGCGAACCGGAGCGGCCGCATAATCCGGTGCTCCGGCGCCGATTTTCGGAATCCGCTGCCATCCGTGCTGCAGCGGATCACAGTGGAGCAGAGGAGGGCCCTGGTGTCATTCCGGATACCTGGGAGGTGGAATCCGGGCGACATTTCCGCCCCTCGTAACGGCGGACATCCGCGGCCTAGTGCGGCCGCGGGGCCGGGGCTCCGGCGTCTTCCATTCACATCCGCTGCCATCCGTGCTGTGGTGGAGGGATCCCATCCGAGGACGTCTGCAGCGTCTCTCTGTATCACAGAGGCTGGGAGAGGGAGGCCGCTGTGTATTGCTGCTCCCCGCGCGGCGGCGGCGACGGTTTGCGGCCTACACCTTCGCCAGAGGCCTCCTTTCACCTGGACACAGTGAGTGAGGGTACAGGCGGCATCTTGTCACTATGATCTCCCCACAGTGGCTTTGGGGAGTGGGGCCACATATTAATAGCCCCAGAATCCACCATCCTCTGTGACTGTGGCCCTTACTGTGCTCAGAGGCCTACTGGGGCCTTGATACTGCCCCAGAGGGTGTCTCCCTGCGGGGCCCTGTGCTCAGAATTGGAGGTCCTCTGCTTCCTGCTTCCCATCCGTCCCTCTCATGTCCTGAGTTGGGATCCAGTGACATCATCTTGCTCCAACGTGAATTTTTTGCAGAATTGCGTGACTTATGTTCTATCTACCCTCTCAAGGCTTGCTGAATATTTTTACAATATAATGTTATCGCATATGGATCTGACAGTATCCATGTAACTACAACCCATGAAACCTATTTTGGGCGCTATAGGTCCCCTGGGGTTATAATCTTCACTCATTTTCCAATTTTCAGTTGATCACCCCCGGGAGATTACTTGTATGCCGTCCACCAAGAAAAAAAAGGACAAGCTCAGAAGTCCCTCACAACATACCTACTTAAGGCTCACGAGATTTGCGGCATGTCTCCAGTCAATACAGAGCAAGCATCCTTGTCCGATCCCGCACGGGATACCACCGCTCCCTTATCGGCCTTAGTCAGCGAAAATACACAGCATCTCACAAAAGGGGACTTGGAGTCCTGCTTGGAATCTATGTACGCCAAACTAGCCGCCAAATTTCAATCAGAATTGCATAAAAGCACTAATGTTCCTCTCTCAGGAAATAGCCACGCTGGGCTCTAGGACAGACCGCTTGGAAACCAAACTCGATGAACTTAGCACTGGCCTATGGATGAACTTTCCAGAGAGCATGATCATTTACAAACGGCCTTTTCACAACTGCAGGCGCAGGTCGAAAGGATCTTGACAATCGCAATCGCAGGAATAATCTGCGGAATCAGGGGGAAATCCCGGAGTCTATGTCAGATCTTTCATTAATTAATAACCAAATTGTTCAAGTCAAATCCTCCCATGGGGGGGTGGGGATCGTGACCCTGATCTTTTTGCTTGTGACGCCGCATAGCCACAGAGCCCTACGTCCTAAACCTCCTGCTGACAAGCCGCCTAGGGATATTGTCTTGTGCATGAAGGATTTTCTGGACCAAGGAAGAAATCCTTAGAGCTGCTTGCAATACTCCAGCGATCTCCTTTGAAGGCTCGGTTTTACAAATCTATCTGATGTTTTCCCCGGCCACGTTGGAGAAACGTATAAAGATGAAAAGAAGTTACAACTGCCCTGTTCTCAGCTCGTATCCGCTACAAGTGGGGGCTTCCCTTTTAAGCTGATAGTTCCACACAATGGGAGCACATATATCGCTACATCCCCTCCCGAAGGTTGAAGCAATCTTGGCCAAATTGGGCCTTGGCGGAATGCCCCATCACCTCAACGTCCACCCTCCACCCCTCGTATTTCTCCCATTTGGCATAACCCCTTCCCCACGGAGGGATAGAAGGAGAGTCAGACAAGAACCGGGTTGACGTGTCTCTACTCTCACTTGCCTAATACTCATTGTCTTGATAGTCTTTGGTTTGGTCTAATGTTTTTTTATGACTTACCAAGATTTGGGACACAGGGATTTTGCTCTCTATTTTTTACATTGTCAGGTTGTGTATTTCTGTGGTTGTTGCTGTGCTATTTTTGCAATACCCTGAATATTTTGTATGCCTTGCATTGAATAACTGTACGGGTTAAGTACATATAACAAGGGTCATTGGACCCTCCTAATTGCGCCCATTAATTCATGGTTGTACTACTCTTGACGACGTTACCCCACCCTGCCTCTTGACATGGCTGGAGGTGTCGCCTCCACGATTCTGCGGGGTGGCAGCTCTGTTTTCCATGTTCTACAAGGAGGACAGGGTTTGGGCCCATGTGGCCCCTTAATGTTTGAAACTTTTTGTTTTATCAGGTAATGACGACTTTTCTGCCTGATCCACGTCTCAGTTACCCTTGTCAAATATAGAAGATGTTAAAGCTTCTTCTTCCATTGTGTTTTGCTTTTCCATTTTTCTTAAAACTTTAGTGCATGTGGATGGTATTATGTCGGTCTGTGGACGTCCACGACCCCTATGTTGGGTCTGGGGGTCCCCTCGGCCCTGGTTCTGCCGACCTGTATGTCTGTCTGATGCAGACTTCTGGGTTTCTATGTCTAGATTCAAATAACTTTAGGGGATATCCATTGTAATGTGTACTTTTATGATGATAGTGCAGGCTCTGTTTAATTATGGTAAATGCAATGTATTTTCGCATAATGTTCCAGGGTTTCAATTCGCCAAATAAGCGCAAAACAGCACTTTCTTCAATATAAAAAGATTAGGAGCAAAAATCATCTTATTACAGGAAACACATTTTGCAGCCGCAAAAAGACACCCGACCATTTTTTCATAGATCCTATAGGCAGGGGTATTATACCCTACAATTCCTCCAAGAGTAGGGGAGTGGCCATTTTTCTACATAACACATTTCCTTTTTTGAGGAGTTCAACAAGTGTATCGTGATCCATCTGACAGGTAGTTTATTAATTCTTAAGGGCACCCTTTCATGGAGTCCGAGAACTTACAATTGCTAAATGTCTATGCACCAAATTCGGCACAGGCTACCTTTTTTTCTAAATTTTTTTGGTGCTCTGGATAAATTTTTGTCCCCCCATCTATTGGTGGGTGGTGACTTTAATCTGGTGGCAAATCCTCTTTTGCTCCGCCTCGCACACTTCCCAAGCTTTCCCAAAATCCCTTACTAAGAAAACTAGATGGCCTCCAGTTGGTGGATGCTTGGAGGGCGCACAACACGGGAGCCAGGGATTACACATTTTATTCCCACCCACATGACTCTTATGCTAGACTAGACTATATCTTTTGTACCCCTATTTTGCTAGCTAATTCTAGGATAGCTAGTAGTCATTTGAACACCTGGTCGGATCACAGTATTATGGCCTTATCTATCACGTTTGTGGGATTGGCACCTACTCCCTTTTCATGGCGACTTAATGATTCTATGCTAACTGATACTGACTCTCGCAGGAGGTGGTTACATCTCTAAGGAATACTTTCAATCTAATTCAACCCTGATATTTCCCCAGCCACACTGCTGGGTAGCCCACAAGGCGGTCCTACGTGGCCGACTTATCTCTATGGCTTCGGCCAGAAAAAAAAAAACGTTGGCAGCAGATACTACTTTTAAACCCGAGAATTAGAAGCACACTATAGAAGCCAATGTAGCGATCCATCTTTACTTAATAAACAGCTGTTGTCCCAAAAACGCTTGGAACTGAATGCCCTACTTTCCCAAAAAACTGAAAAGGGCCCTCCGCTGGTCGAAGGCCCTAAGTCCTCACTCCCTATTTACATAGCAACTCAGCATCTACCATGTTTGCTAGGAAATTGAACCATTCTTTGCGCCCCCCCACATGTGTATAAATTGCGTACTAATTCAGGTGCTATCTCATCATTACCTCAGGAAGTTTTGGGTATTTTTGAAAATTTTTTTCTAAACTACTGGCTTCTCCACAGTCGGATTCTGTTTCTCTATCAGATTCATGGCTAGATTCTATACCCCCTCCTGCTCTCACACCTTCTCAGATTGCCTCTCTTAATGCCCCCTGTACTTTAGAGGAAATAACATGTGCAATAGGAACGCTGAAACGCTCTACTGCACCGGGTCCTGATGGATTTACTGCTGGCTATTATAAACATTTTGCCTCTACATTGGCTCCATACTTGATAACACTATTTAATGATGTTTTACAGGGGGGTAAATTCCCCGAGGAGATGTTGTTAGCTAACATGTCTCTAATACCCAAACCACAGAAAGACCACTGTTTGCCGCAAAACTATAGACCAATCTCAGTAATGAATAATGATCTGAAGATATTTAGCCGCGTTTTGGCGAACAGGTTGGCTCCTATTATCTCCTCTTTGGTATCTCCAGACCAGTCGGGTTTTATTCCGACAGATTTATTACTGATAACATTCGTCTCACTCTAAACGTTATTCAAGACGCCAATTTACATTCCAAAGAGGTTCTGTTGATGAGTTTAGACATAAACAAGAGGCCTTTGACAGTGTCCTTTGGCCCTACTTGTTCTCTTTGCTACAGAAAATGGGCTTCAGTGATGGGTTTTTGGCAGGCATACATGCCCTATACGACTCTCCTAAAACAAGAATAAGGCTTCCTGGCTGTAACTCTGACTTTTTTACATTGGGTAGAGGTACCCGTCAGGGTTGTCCTCTTTCGCCCCTTTTGTTTGCGCTGGTGTTGGAACCTTTGGCAATTGCGATCAAATCACATTCGGATATTTCTGGCTATTCGTTATTAGTTTCACACTTCAAGCTGAGCATGTATGCTGATGATGTTATGCTCTTTATTACTAACACCCGTTGACTTCTTTGCCCAATTTGTGTGTTGTATTGAATGATTTTGCTAAAGTGTCAGGCCTC